TAAAATGATGATTTAACCGCGCAAAAGGACGCTCGGCATCACCAACAATTGCCGAATTATGCGTCTGGCGGTCTGGCGGTCTGGGCCCCAGGTGCACCACAGCAAGTGCCGCGTCGCATCACGACACCAACAATTACCGAATAGCGAGGCAGACCCTTTAAATTAAGACACCATGAATCAATAATTAAAAAGATAATAACATCCCATTTATTTCTCTCTTTCTCCCCCTTTTTTTTTTTCATCATCAAGATGACATCATTTTAGTTGGTAGACAAGATAATATTAATGTAATTTTTTTTTTATCAGCAGTTAACATCAATATAATAATAATGATGCGAAAAACAAAAACGTATTTTTCAATTTAGATTGTCTGCAATTTAGGCTGAAAAAAGTATTTTAAGATCCTTATTAAATAAAAATGTGTTTGATTTGATTATTTTAGCAGCTTAAATAACTCTTTTTTTTTTTTGCCATTTGTTTTTACTTTTTTTTTTGCCATTTGTTTAAACCTTTTTTTTATATTAATTTTTCAATTTTTAATAATCATCTGACTAATTTAAAATTAAATCATGTCAGATTCTATAAAAAAAATACTCTTATGACGTCTGTTTCTTTATTTATAAAATTCAAACTTAAGATTTTATTTAAGAAAAATCAAATTTTTTCACTTAAATCAATAAATTATTGGTATTAATTAAAAGATTGGAAAACGATTATTTATATGTTAATTTCAAATTAATATAATTTATTTTATAAATTAATAATTAATAATTATAATTGTTGATTATTTTCAAAACAAACATAACCTAAGATTAATTGAAAGTATTTTGACACATTTATAACTCAAATTTCTTAAAATAATACTCTCTCAGTTTATTTTTAATAAATTTATTTTATTAATTTAATAAAAAGAGAGGTAATAATTTATTAATATTATTTTATATTTATTTTTGATAAAAAATTACCTAAAAAACACATTTTTATTGTTTTGGTATCTCAAAAGTTAAATGTTAATTTTCATCTCCAAACTTTTAATTTTGAACATTTTAGTTTCTAAATTATTTTATGTA